GCGGAGAAGGGTAGCAGGCTCTGCAGTATCAATGGGTCGTCTGCTTGCTGATCTGGCCCAGGTGCTGTCGCCTTCTCGTGCAAGAGCTCTTGCCAGACTTTCAGGAGGAGGAGGAGGAGGAACATGAGGAGGAAGAGGAGGAAAAGGAGGAGGAGGAGGAGGAAAAGGAGGAGGAGGAGGCAACGAAGGAGGAGGAGGATGAGCAAAAGGAGGAACAAGAGGAGGAGGAGGAGGAGGAGGAGGAGGAGGAGGAGGAGGAGGAGGAGGAGGAGGAGGAGGAGGAGGAGGAGGAGGAGGAGAGGAGGAGGAGGAGGAGGAGGAGGAGGAGGAGGAGGAGGAGGAGAGGAGGAGGAGGAGGGGGAGGAGGAGGAGGAGGAGGAGGGAGGAGGAGGAGGAGGAGGAGGATGAGGAGGAGGAGGAGGAGGAGCAGCAGGAGGGGGTGGACGAGGAGGAGGAGGAGGAGGAAGATGAGGAGGAGGAGGAGGAGGAAAAGAGGAAGACGAGGAGGAAGATGAGGACGAGGAGGAGGAAGAGGAGGAGCAGGAGGAAGATGATGATGAGGAGGAGGGGGGGAAGGAGGGGAAGGAAGAGGAGGAGGAGGAGGAGGGGAAGGAAAAAGAGGAAGACGAGGAGGAAGATGAGGAGGAAGAGGAGGACGAGGAGGAGGAAGAGGAGGAGCAGGAGGAATATGATGATGAGGAGGAGGGGGGGAAGGAGGGGAAGGAAGAGGAGGAGGAGGAGGTGGAGGAGAAGGAGGAGGATGAGGAGGAGGAAAAGGAGGAGGAGGAATAGGAGGAGGATGAAGAGGAAGTAGAGAAGGAGGACGAGGAAAAGGAGGAGGAGGAAGAGGATGAGGAGGTCAGTACCTGTCTGTGGTCCCAGTCCCCTCGCATTTAAGGTGCATGCTGCGGGACAAAGAAGAGTGCAGTATGCGGGTGAACACGGTGATGCCAAGACTAATTTTTCTGCGTGGTTCCTTGAGTTCCATAGTGGAACCAGTATGTACTACAGCAGGACAAGTAACACCAGTAATCCGAATTGGAGGTACAAACTGCTTCAGAGTAAAATGAGCGTATGCCAGTGCTGAGGCTGTCCTGTGAGGCTGGCCTCTGATCGGTGGCCGGAAAGAAACACATGTAGGCTGGCCATGGGCGTAGCTTTAGAGCTGGAAAAATAGCTGTGCCGAAAGTGTTTGGGCTGTCTAGTATTGGAGTTTTGGAAATTGAAACGTGGCGCTACGATGCCAAAGGGCTGAGGCTGGCGTGAGGCCAGCCAGTCACCAGTAGGTCCGCATCCTCCCACCAGACACCTCCCCAATTCTGTAGGTCCTCAGCCTGTAAGTGTGCGAGCGGCATCGTGAAAACTGGCAAGAACGGCCAAGCGCTATTGGCAAAGTGTAGCAGTTCGTCGGTTGCTGCCCCGGGCTTTTGGGTGCATCCGAAACCTCATTCGTCCCAGGGCCCTCGTGCTTTTTGTAGATTGTTTCGGGTTTAGCACAAACCATTTGTGTCAACGCTACAGTATCAGGCTGGCACGTGTAAGAACGACTGGCCAGTTTGCTTGCAATTCTTGGGCTGCTACCCGTGGGAGAGGGGTCAAAAGGAAAGACGAGGAACAGGTGTCTGTAGTCATACCTGCCAGTACGCTAGCAGTGGATGGTTAAGGCTGGCCTTGAGGCTGGCCTGTGTAATGTGGTACAGGCTGTAAACATGCCCTAGCAACTGTAGAGTATCTCCTGAGGAGGTAAGGCTTGAGGGTCTTCCCTCGTGGGCAAGCTGCTCACGCGTCCTCACGCAGGGCTATGGCCCTCAGTGAAAAGTGTGTTGCTGTAGATCAGGCAGAGCGAACAAATTCAGTCAGTGTGCAATTGTTGGGCTGCTACCCTTGCTCCTCCTCTCCCCCACCTCCTGTAAGTCCCCCCCCCAATCGATGGGGCCTCAACCCAAGAAAAGAACTGTACCGCTTGTGTTGGGGCAGTCTAAGTGCTGATGTTATGTAATGAAACGTGGTGAGTCGTCGCCAAAGGGTTGAGACTGGCGTGAGGTCATCTTGCTGCTTGAGGTCCTCTTGTAGAGGCAAGAGCGATGAAAGGAGAGGGAGTCTGCATGTAGTCTGGCAGTTGATAGTTGAGGATGGCCTGGAGGCTGGCCGGTGCAACATTTAGTACAAACTGTAGACGATGCTCTTGCAGTTTTAGGGTACCTCCTGAGTGGGTAAGGGGTACTTCCCTCGTGGACAAGCTGCTCACGCAGCAGGTAGAGCGAGCAAATCCAGTCTGCGTGCAATTCTTGGGCTGCTACCCTTGGTCAGACAAATTACTCAGCTTGCCAGTCATGCGTCGCTGAACTGAAACGGTACACAGAAGGTGTGAATGTAGAATGTAGCGGAGAGCAAGCAGTAACGACGGGATAGGAGAGAGAACAGGGGCCGTGAGTAACCGAAGGAGAACATGACATATATCCTATGCATCCAAGGGGTGCACAGGGTATCAGCTGTCCTCATCAGTCGGTAGGGTACGGCCCCAAGGGGGGGCGGGAGAACGGTCCAAGCAAGCATGCTCGGTACGGTCAGTTGACCTGTTGAAACAGAGGATGCGGTAGATGGAGCAAATGGAGAGACGATGACGACAGCAGGAGTATTAGTAACAGTGATGCTCGGCCGTCGTCCTCGAACCTCTGATAGACCCCTACCACCCGAGGAATACTGGAGGTGCAACGTATGCGGTAAACACTGCAATTGGAGGTAGACAAGGTCGGTCTGTTGGTCGGTAGTCCACAGTGGAAGTGTCAGGTTCTCCCCTAACGCCTCGCCAACATGGCAGTAACCAAAATTGAGGTCGGGAAGGGAGGTAGATGCCAACGCAAGCAAGGTATTGATAGAGTTTGGCTCCTGTGATGCCAAAGCGTATTAGCAGCCAGGGAGGTACTGAGAGTAATGTATTCTTTGTCGCTGGCCCCTTGGCCTGCCAACTGTGAGGAGGAAGGGGGAATCAGTAGTCCAAGTTCTGCGGTAGTCGAGGCGCAGGTGGCACTTGTGGTCGATGTCGTGGTATACTGCGTGGTGCCTTTTGTGCGCTTGCGGTATGCTGTGGCTCGCTCTTGCGGTGCCGTTGATGTCGTGGTCGTTGGCCTGCGGCTTGGGTTTGGGAGGTGTCTTGTACACTCGCGGCATTGCGTTGTACGATGGTTCCTTGAAGGGTACCCCTGGCTGGTGGCTGCGCGTATGGAGTCTGGCTAGGTACTACTCGTAGCGTGTCTGGAGCGGGCGGATCGTGTCGATGTAGTTGTGGAAGCGTGGGGCTTCTTTGTTGTGAACGAAGAGGGCTCTACGATTGTCGGTGACGTTATGCTGTACGTAGATGATGCTTATGGAAGGGTCACGGCGACTTTGGTTGGGAAGTATACCTGGAGGGTGGCGTATGTTTGTGGCGCAGGTCGACGCACTGGTACTTCCTGCAACCATCGCTGTGCCAGCACTTCTTCGTAGGGTGGGCATATGATTTGTGTTTGGAGCACTGGTGGTGGTGGGTGTATGGGTATTGCGACTCTTTTTGTAGGTATCCATGTTGTGATGGCCTTCGTGTGTGGTATAGCTGGTGTGTCCACAGTAGAGCCGCCAGTGGTGGTGAGGATGGTTTTGGGTCGTGGGGGTGTCTTTTTGACGAACTATGTGGAAGGTAGTGGTGGTGGTTTCTTGGCTGGTGGTGTAGGCTTGGTCGTCGGTGGTGTGGGCGGTTCTGTGGGTCGGTGCTTTGGTCTCTGCCATTGGACATACCAAGGTACATGCTGCTGTACCTGGCGGGCGCCTACTCTCTTTGTTACCCTCCTCGCCGCACTTGGTTCGTGCCTTTTCCGCGGCACCCGCCAGGTATCCTTGAGCCGAATCGACGTTACATTGGCCTGCACACCCTCAAGAACGCCACATGCACTCGCATCAGGTTCGCGCAACGTCAAAAAGGAGGAGGAGGAGGAGGAGGAGGGCCAGTGTAAGTCCAAGAGTCAGAGGCACCAACGATGTTGTAATAAACCCTCCCTCCAAGCTCTCTCCTCATAGGCCCCTGCAGCGGTTCATTTCCACTGGTGGAACTGCTTCGTTGGAAGGCAACAGTCTGAAGACCCATAGCATGCGAAAGCAGTGTTTTCGGGATCCCAGCGCCACGGATCAACCTGGCTGTTGCGTCTTGACGATCCTAAATCGTGCCAGAACGCCATTCTTGGGACTTGAACACCCAGAACCCACGCAACGGTTGCACCGTCGTGATCCTGAATCCTTTCAACACGCAGTCTCTTGTACGTTGACCATGGGAGACTGTTGTATTTTTACAACGAATGTGCTCGGCGCTTAGGCGAGAACCGCATTTTGAACAAGAGCCGCCCGCAATCCGTGAAATTTCAAGAATTTTGGAAAAACGAAGCTGCGCGGCGCTCAGGCGAGACCAACGTTTTGAAAACGTCCCGCCCTCAATCCGTGAAATTCCTGCATATATTCATAACGTTTGAGCGCGGGCCTCAGGCGAGAGCCACAGTTTGAAAACCACCCGCCTTCAATCCGTGAAACCCCTTGCAATTTGTTAAAACGAATGTGCGCAGCGCTCAGGCGAGAGCCACATTTTGAAAACGACCCGCCCTGAATCCGTGAAACTCCTTGCAGATGTCTAGAAGCAGTGTGCGCGGCGTTCAGACGAGAGTCACATGTTGGAAATCACCCGCCCTTGATCAGTGAAACTCTTGCGAATTCTGAAAACGAATGTGCGCAGTGCTAATGCGAGAGCCACAGTTCGAAGACCACCCGCCCTCCTCACAAGTGGTGAGGAAGTCTCAGGCGAAACGCCCGGCCCGCTCCAAAAATTGGCCTAGGAGTGAGACAGGGACAAGATGTTGATAAGGCAAGGAGATGGAGGCGAAAGCGGAAACGGAAACGGAGGCGGAGGCGGAGGCGGAGGCGGAGGAGGAGGAAAATGGCGGTGGACTGCGTTGATTCGCAAGTCGGCATCCCTTCAGGTAGTGGACACTGTCTGCTTGGGCCGCGTCGTGGACTCGGTGGTCGGTGAGCAGGGCAGCGAAATCCCAACGACAGTGAGACTCACGCCCCCGCTCCCCTGACATCGCTGGGGCCTCAGGAGGAGAGGGCGGGGAAAGGAGAAATATGGGGGTGAAGAGGTGGGGCAACACCCTGAGGAGGGAGTCGCTCTCCTTTTCCACCCCCTCCCCTCCTCCCATCGTTCGTCGTCGCCGTCATGGCCAGCAGCAGCAGCATCATTACCATCGTCCTGCATCTAACGAGCCTCTCCCTCCCTTCTTTCTTTATTCACTTCCCCTCCTTCCCCTCTTCCCCCTTTCACCTCCCCCTCCGTTCGTCCTCTCCACTCCTTGCCCTCAGTCTTCGTCTTCGTCGTCGCCGCCGTCGTCGTCAGCCTTCTCCTCCGCCCTTTCCCTCTCCTTCCTTTTTTTGTTTCCTTCTCGTGGGGGGCTCGGGGGAGGGCCGTTGGGGGGCCAGCGCGCTGGGGGGAGGACGCCAACGCCCGCGCGGCGCGTGGCCGAGTTCCGGCCGAATTCGTCCACGCGGGGCGCAGACGGGGAGCGCTGACGGGGCCGCGGGCACCAGTGGAGGGTCGCCCTCCCCCCCCCTCGTTTTTTTTTTTTTTTTTTTTTTTTTGTTTCTTTCTTTTTTTTTTTTGGATTTTTTTTCTTTTCTCTTTTATCGTGGGGGGCTCGGGGGAGGGCCGCTGGGGGGCCGGCGCGCTGAAGGGGGGGCGCCACCGCCCGCGCGGCGCGTGGCCGATTTTCGTTCGAACTCGGCCACGCGGGGCGCGGACGGGTGCGTTGTGACGGAGCCGCGGAGGAAGGCCGCCCCCCCCCTTGTCGTCCTCCCCCCGAGCTCTTCTTCGCGTGGGGGGTTCGGGGTCGGGGATGGCTCACTGGGAGGGGGGCGGCCCGCGGCTGGGGCGTTGCGGGGGGGCCGTGCGCGCCCATCCCACACCCCATGGCGGACGGGAGCGCCGCGCTCCCCCGTGAAAGGCACCCTGCGGGGCGGCGGCGCCCCCGGCTCCCCAAGGCGCGGGACCCGAAGGCCCAGGGGGCGGATGTTTTCCCGCGCCGGGGAATCGCATGGCCCCTCGGGGACCCCCCGGGGGCCGTCCGGAATAACATAGTCCTCCTTACCCCCCTCGCCTCCCCCCTGCCTTCTCTTCCTCTTTCTCAGACTCTTCCTCAGACTCTTCCTCCTCCTCCTCCTCCTCCTCCTCCTCCTCCTCATCGTGTTCATCCTCTTCCTTTTTTCTTTCCTCCCTTCCTCCCTCCCTCCCTCCCGCCCCTCCCTCCCTCCCTCCTCCTCGAAGCGCCGAGTGCCGACCGAGGCCCAGGCGTTCCCCGCGGGTTCCCGGTTGGACACCCCTGGCTTTGTCCCCCTTCTGCGCTTCGCAAAAAGCGGCGATTTAGACCAGCCAGCCGCCGAGTTGCAGCAGATGTGCGCCGCGCTGGCGCGGCGGCGACGCCAGCGCGGGCGTTCAAAGCTGAACTCCGCCAACTGGTCGAACGTGGCCAGCCGCCCGAGCGACAGCGGCTGCCAGAGAGCAGCAATCGCTCAGGATTGAGCAGTCCACGCCGTGTCAGAAGCGACGGGCCCCACGGCATCACGAAGTAGACCTCCTGTTCCCCCCTCTTCCGCGAGGCGCGCGGCTTGGCCCAGCCAGCCGCCGAGCTTGCCGTCGATCCGTCGCCGTGGCCACGGCCAACCCGAGGCGAGCCTGGCCACCCGCAGCGCATCTCGGGCGGGGAGCGCAAGCGCCTGTGCATCGCCCGCGAGCTCCTGGGGGACCCGCAGCTCTTCGCCATCGTGGGCCTCCTTGCTGCCGCCGTCGTCGTCGTCACTGTCGTAATCGTCGGAGGTGACGGAGAAGGGGGTGGAGGAGAAGGGTGAGGACAGGGAAGAGGGGAAGGGTGGGGAGGAGAGGGAGGACGATGAGGATCATGAGGGGGCGGATGGAAGGAAGGAGGGGGGGAGGGGGGAGGAGGAGGAGGGATAAGACGGAGGAGGTGGGAGGAGACAGAGAAGGAGGAGAAGGAGGACGAGAACGAGGACATGGAGTGAGGAGGAGGAGGAGGAGGAGGAGGAGGAGGAGGAGGAGGAGGAGGAGGAGGAGGAGGAGGAGGAGGAGGAGGAGGAGGAGGTGGAGGCGTGCTGGGAGCGGGGCCCGCGGCACCGGCGCACCACTCCGCAATGATGTGCAAATGCATACCACCACTGCGTAGCCTTCCTTTACTCCTCCACTACCACTCTCCACCTGCGTTACCCAGCTCCCGGCTGATCGGCACTTGCCGCCGAGAAGTGCTTCAGCTGTCGTATCGAAGCGTAGCCACCCCAGCCAACTTCCTGCCAGTTTTGCTCCGGCGACTACGGCGGGTACTACTCCAGCCAGTGTAGCTGGCACGCGCCGCACCTAGTAGCAGCGACAGCAGAGCGACGGCAGTTTTCCAACACACCACCCGATATACATTCCTCGACCTTCCATTCGGTGGCAGTGTAAGGCTGCAGGCGCAGGCAACATGGCAACCGACAAGGTACGACCATGACAACAATCGAACCAGCACCAACATTGCAGGACTTTATGAAGCGGCCAGCACCTTCATCTCCTCTGCATCATTCTGAACTTCGAGTGCCGCCTCTTCTTCGCAGAGCAAGTTTACTGCCCCCCTCGCCAGCCCTCGCTCCCGGCCCGCCCGCTCCATCTTGACGTTCGCCCTGCCTCCCACTAATCTTTTCATGCCCGGCCATTGTGGTGGGCATCAGCGTGTGGGAGGGGAGGGGGGGAAGAAGGCGTCGCCGCAGGGGCGGGCCTTGACGCCCGGGCGGTGACGGAGCATCTGCAGTCACAGCCGTCGTCTTTTCCCTTTGCCCTGACCCGCCGCCAGCCTACCTCACACCTCTGTTTCCTCTCCTCTGGCGAGGGCAGGTGCGGAGAGTGTGGTGTGGGCTTCAGTTGTCCGTGACAACAGTGCCCGCAGCTCGAAGCTCGAAGGAGGAGGATAATGAGGGAGAAGAGGAAGTCAGAGGGAAGAGAGCTTTGGGAGACCAGGGGGAAATGGGAGCGAGAGGGGGCAGGGACGGGGAGGAGGAGGGATCAGGGAGCGGTTGGGGAGGGGGGGCCTTTGCTTATCTTTCCTCTGATGGGACCCCTGAGTGCCTGCTCAGACCCACTTCTTCAACTTGCAACTGGGGAGCTGCATGCCGCATTTCGGCGGCGGTCCCTTTCTGATCTGTTTCAGGTTCTTCTTCCCAGTGGCCGAAATGCGAGGACACGGCTTGGCTAGATTGACAGGGGGGAGGAGGAAGTGTTGAGGGAGTGATGAGGAGCAACGGGGATAATGGAGGAGGACGGGGAGGAGGAGGGTGAGGAGGAGAGGAGCGGCGGGCTGGGGAGGACCCGCGGCTCATCATCTGCGATGAGCCGACGAGCGGGCTGGACTCGACCATGGCGGAGCAGGTTCTCGCGCCTGGTCATTTCCTCTCCTCGTCCTTTTGCTCATCTTCTTCTTGCCCCCCTCTCCATTTCCCCCCCGTTCCCCTCCCCCTTCTCCTTCCCAGTCTCCTTCCCTTCCTCCTCCGCCTCCTACCTCCTTCTCCTTGGCCTCTGATCCTCTTTCTTTTAATGTCTGCCTTCGCTCTGCCACCTGGCCGGCCGATTTCGACCATGCCGGCAATCTCCAATCCATCTTGTTTTTTCTCAGTACGGACGTTCTGTCGTCGACGTTGCAAATTGTGTGGCGAGAACAGTGCGCGGCGCACACGAGCATAAGGGGGGATGCCACTCTCGCTGTTTCATCGCCGCTCATATCCTTCATTTAATTTCGCTTGCCAATTCGTCGGCAGCGTGGTCAAAGCGCGGGCGACATGTCGCTCTTGCCCAGGTGTCACGCAGGTTTCGCCAGAAAGTGGCGCTCCCACTTGCCGTGGCACACGTTTTCCGCTCGCCCCGTTGCCAGAAGCGAATGCGTGGCCGCGCGCGAGCGGGCGAACTGTCGTTCTCCCGCAGGTTCTGCGCAGATTTCGCCCGAAAGCTGCGTTCCCCATCTTTGGCGCGGCGCACGTTCTGCCCCCGCCAGTCATGTCTGAAATTTGGTCGTGCGCGACTGGTTCTCGAATGGTGTTCTCGTAGAAACGCTGCGCGGGGATTCCCCGAGGGTTCCGTTCCATTTATATGCAGCCCGTGATTTCCGTTCGCCAAGTCGTCGGAAACGCCCTTGTAGCGGGGGCTGCGCCCATTTCGCAAACATCGGGAGATCGATGGCGCGCCGATGTTCGCTCCATTGGCGGACATAAAAGTGGAGGAAATAGGAGGAAGGAAGAGCAGGCCACTTTCGATCCTTACGAGTAATGTCCTCGGGGCGGCGCGCGCGCGCGAGCGCTTTCCATTCTTCTGTTACGGGATGGGGTGTGGGCGGGGACTTCAGACTTGTCTGAGCTGGCTAGCGTGACCCCTGCTCATATTCTTGCAGCTCCTCCTTCTCCTCCTCCTCATCCTTATCCTTCTGCTCCGCCCTCCTCACCCCCTGGCTCCTCTTGCACCGTCCTGCTACTCTACTCTCTTGCCTGCTCCTCTCTGCATCCTTTCCTCCTCCCCTTGCTCGTCGCCGTAGTCGTCGTCGTCGTCGTCGTCGTCGTCGTCGTCGTCGTCTTCGTCGTCCTCGTCTTCTTCGTCGTTGTCCTCGTCCTTGTCGTCGTCGTTGTTGTCCTCCGCCTCCTCCTTCCCCGCTTCCCCTTCCCCTCTTGTTGCTGATGACGGTTATGTTACCGATGCTCCTGATTAGGATGATGCCGCTGATGCATGTGCTGCTGAGTATGTGGATGAATGGGGTGCTGATGTCGATGCTGACGCTGCTGCCGATACCAAGGCTGGTGGTGCTGCCGTTGTTGCTCGTGATGCTGCCACTCCTAATGCTACTGATGCTACTGACCATGCTGCTGATGCATTTACCGCTGCGGATTCCGCCTTCAGTGGCTGTGCTGATAATCCCGATCCGGATGATGGCAACGATGCTGATGCCGATTGTGCTGGCGATGCTGACTGATACTCGTCACGTTGGTTCTTTGTGCTTCTGCTGCGCTTTATTATGATCGTGGTGCTGCTGCTGCTGCTTCTGCTGCTGCTGCTGCTGATCGTGGTGATGCTGCTGCTACTTCTTCAGTGGTTGCTCGTGTTGCTGGTAATTCTGCTGATGTTCCCGCCGCTTCTGACTGATGTTGGTGCAGATTCAGGTGATGATGCTAATGTTCTTGCTGCTGCCGATATCAGCACTTCCTTGGCCTCCCCATCTCTCCCTCTTGCTGCCCTCGCCCGTGGGCAGCTTCACTTGTATGCTCATCCGCTCGTTCGATTGATTTTGCATTTGAATTTCGCTGGCCCTCGCAAGGAGTGTTTTTCCTCAGCCAGCTGTGCTGACTGGGATCCTATTGAGATGAGACCTAGTTCCGACGGAGGAGCGGGCGCCCAGAGACATCCCGAACATTATGAATTGGTCCGGTCCGTTTCGCCTGAGACAAAATCGCAACTCGTGGCTCCCAGACGCCGCGCGAGGTGGTCTGCTCCGTTTCGTCTGAGAAATATTCACAAACCTAGGCTCTTTGAAGGCTGGGATTGAGGTGGTTCGCCCCTTCTCGCCTGAGATATCCTCGCAACTCTGGGCTCCAGGTTGGCTGGGATTGAGCTGGTCTGGTCCGTTTTGCCTGAGACATCCTCGCAAATTTGGGCTCGGAGATGCTGCGCGAGCCAGTGTCGCCGGAGACATGCTTATACCTCTTGACTCCGAGATGGCTGGCATTACGGTGGTCCGGTCCGTTTCGCGAAAGACATCCTCGCAAATTTGGGCTCCCAGACGCCGCGCGAGAGGTTGTCTGGCCAGTCTCGTTTGTTTCGCTTGAGAGATCCTCCAGTTTTGGGCTCCCAGACGCCGTGACTTGAAAGGGTCCAGTCTGTTTCGCCTAAGACATTCTCGTAACTCTGGGCTCGCAGAGGCCGACGGCGATATGGTCTGGCCAGTTTCGCCCGAGACATCCTCCCAACTCTGGGCCCACAGATGCCATGACCTGAGGTGGTCTGGCCCGTTTCGCATGAGACGTCCTCGCATCTCTGGGCTCCGAAATGCCGTGCGCGAGGTGGTCCAGCCAGTTTCGGCTGAGGCATCCTCGCATCTCTGGGCTCCCAGAAGCCGCACGCTGGTCTGGCCAGTTAGACTGTGATATCCTCCCATCTCTGGGCTTCGAGGTGCCATGACTCGAGTTCCCAAATTTAGGTTTCGAGAAAAATCGAGTTCCTCGCTCCTCCCCCCCTCCTCCTCCTCCTGTTTCAATTCCTCCGGGTCTACGGCATGGTGGTGGAGCCTCTGACAGTGTCGACCCGGCGATTTACCCCTTGACCAGGCAGGGAAGGTGGGGGTCAGAGAGGACAGTGAGGAGGGATTTGGGGATCTGCGACACTTGCAGAGAACATGTTTTTGTTTCGCAGAAATCTCAAAGCTGCCAGCCTAATGTTCTCATATTACAGACGCGTCATGCCCTCCCGCATCGGGGGAACGCGCAATCGCCCTCACAAGCCATCATGAGTTAAAAGCTGATGTTCGGGGATACCGCACTCCGGTTAAAATCTCTTCCTCTCTCTCTCTCTCTCTTTTTTCTCCCTCTCTCTCTCTCCCTCTTCTTCTCGGGGGGGAGAAGGAACCACGAGGCGGTGTCCAGGGGGTAGGAGTTCAGGTTCTGGTTGCGCAGGCCCTATCTTCTTCTTTTCATTCTTCTTATCATGCGTCTTATTATTCTTAATGCTCCTCTTCCTTTTCCTTCTCTTCCTCCGTTCCTCCTCCGTCCCATCGCTCACGGTTAAGCGGCATCGCCAAGGCAGTTCAGACCAAGTTGGACATGTTGGGAAGATCTCTCGTGCCGACCATTAGCAATGCAACAAAACGATTAAGAAATGCTCGGAAGTGGACGATTAAAGAGGTATTCCCAGTTCTTCGTCGACGTCGTCGTCGCCGTCAAGGCTGCCAGGCCGCAGCCAGCGGCCCAGATGAGAAATAACTATCTGTTCAACCGTCCCTGACCGTCTGTTTTTGTTTGTTTGTTTGGTTGTTTGTTGTCGTTACGTTTTTCTTTAAATAATAGTTTGTTAGTGTATATACATATGTTTATATACACGTATTTCGGAAACTAGTAGTATCTTCGTATCGCTAAAAGCAAGCATAGTTGTATTTTGATGTTAATGCATGTTTTGTCATACAAATATGTTTATACCAATCGCTTGGTTGTATCACGTGGTTCACTCATCCTCCTCGAGGTGATCCGTGTGGTGAGGTCGCTCAGCGACAGCGGCAAGGTGAGCGTGGTGGCCTCAATCCACCAGCCCTCTTCGAGCATCTTCGCTGCATTTGACGACCTCGCGCTGCTGAGGGAAGGCCACACCGCATTCTTCGGGCCCACCATGAGTGCGGAGGGCTTCTTCGTCGCGCGTGGCCCTCCCAGGCAATCGGTGCTGACATTTCTGCAACAGTTCATGGTCGGATCGATGTTTTAATTGTTCGATGCATCATCCCAGATCTCAGCATGAACAGTTGGGGGATAGGGCGTGTGCAGAACTGAGGGCTCGTCTGTCTAGCAGGTCGCAGGCTGAGGTGCTAGACATTGGAAGCGCAAAAGGGTATATCTCAGGGACCCCGTCCAGAGCGTATCGGAGTACCTCATGGACTTGCTTGTGCTGGACGAGGCAGGAGCAGACGTGGACAAGGACTATGCTTGCTTGCACCGTTCGCTCAAGCATGTTGCATGCTTCAAACATGTTTTTGGTGGGGGACTCTGTTACTTGGATTTACTGCCAGCATGCCAGTGAAGAAGCCAGTCTCGATCTTGTCATGTAACCATCGGGTGTCACTGAGGCCCAGCCCTGACGCGCCCGAGAAGAGGCACCCTCTGCAAGAAGCTGCCCCTCCCTAAGTTCGAGCTGCCCCCAGCAAGGATCGGTGGCCCCCAAACGGTGTGATGACCACATCGCTTGGTGAGTCAGTAGGGATTCGGGGTCACCGCGCGGCTTTGGGACTCGGGCCGTTCCCCGAGGACGTCTCGGGCGGCTGGGGCCTCAGGGTCTCAGAACCACGCGGTGACGGACCGCGCGGGGCTCTGAAAAGGAGTTTGGAGTGCAGGTGGGCCTCCTCGCCCCCCCCCCTTCCTTGGGATACGCCATCCCACCGGTTGCTGGCTTGCGCGATTGGATTCCTCCCCCGCGAGTTCCTGAAAGCCTCGCGGCAAATGTCACTGTTGCCCAGGGGGGCTGCCCTTCCCAGACCCCGACGGTTTATTTTCATAACGTACTGGCTCTTCATTTCGGGTCGTTCTTTGAAGGTCCCGGGCCTGCCGAGGGCACCCAGAGGCCGAAAACAATGGACAATTGCCCGCCGTGTTTTTTTTCCCAACCGTCCTGTGGTGTCGGGTCCTCGTTTTGACGAGGCAGTCACCGCGTCCCCCCTCTCCTCTCCTCCTCCTCCTCCTCCTCCTCCTCCTCCTCCTCCTCCTCCCGTCACCCCCCTCACTTTGGCACACCCCTCACACGCTTCGTGGCCCCAGAGGGAGCTCCACCGAAGGCCCCAGTGGCATGGTTCGCATGCCCCCCCGCCTCCACTTTAGCACACCCCTCACACGTTTCGTGGTCCCACAGGGGGCTCCACCGAAGGCCCCAGTGGCATGGTTCGCATGCAGTTCCACCCTTCGACTTTGGCACACCCCTCACGCGTTTCGTGGCCCCACAGGGAGCTCCACCGAAGGCACCAGTGGCATAGCTCGCATGCCGCCCCCTCCAATTTGGCATACCCCTCAGGCGCTTCGTGGCCCCATGGGAAGCTCCACCGAAGGCCCCAGTGGCATGGTTCGCATGCAATTCCACCCCTCGACTTTGGCACACCCCTCACGCGTTTCGTGGCCCCAGAGGGAGCTCCACCGAGGGCCCCAGGGGCAGCGCCCGCATGGCGGCCCCGCCCCATTGCGGGGCACCCTTCGCGCGCTTCTTGCCCGTAGGGAGCTCCGCCGAAAGCAGTTCTCACAACGGCGGTATTCACAACTGCATATGGTTGGGCCCTTCGCCAGCATAATTTCTACGACGCCAGGGGGTTATCCTTCCAAGACCCCGACGTCTTGTTTTCTCCATGACGTACTGCCTCTTCATCCCGAGCCGTTTTTTGGTGGTCCTGGGCTCGGCGAGGGCACCGGGAGGCCGAAAACAATGGAACATTGCCCGTCGTGTTTTTGTATTTTTAAGGCGCGAGGAGGCGTGGGTTACGTGCAGGCAGCCCGACCACTGCCGCGCGCGGCAGGAGACGGCGAAGCTCGGCAGGTGCGGCAGCGGCGGCTTGCCGACGGCCGCGCTGGCCCGGGCGCCGCGCTCGGCCAGCGCCCCCCGCCCGCCGGTTCCGCCGCCAGCGGGGTCTCGACCCCAATCTCAGGGGGGCAGTGTTAGACCTCTGGTGCGGGACTGCAGGGGTCCCCCTGGCAGTGGCTCGTCTAGCCTCCCAGACGGGGTCGTAGCAGATGGGGCCGGGGGATCGCGCCGCATCGCCGATGCAGCGCCGATGCCGCTCGATGTGGAACCCGTGTTTCCCCACGCCGACGTCGCCGATGTATCGGCCACGTCGCCGGTGGGAGCCGCCCACGAGGGGGTGGCGCGAGGGGTGCTGTCTTCTTTAAGAGGGCGAGGGGCTTCTAAGAGGGCAGGCGGCCTGGAATGCCCTGGAGACTTCGAAGAAGGCTCGGAGGAAGACAACCATACAGATCCACCTCGTTCTCCCCGCTCCCCTTTTCCAAACATTAGCCTGACGAAGGACCCAGCCATATGCAGGTGTGAGTACTGCATTTGTGATTCACTTTTTCGGTGGTGATCCCTATGAGGCAACGAACCGTGCTAGGGGTGTGCCGAAATGAGTGGCGTGGTACACAAAGCGAACGAAAACGATTGATGTGAGTACGTGGGGAGACTGAGCGCGGGTGAATATGAGCGCGAGTGCGTCTGACTGTGAATGCATCTGCGTGCGAGCGCGTCTACGTGCATGGATGTGACTATGACAAAGCATGGTGTAAGTGTTTATGAATGTCAATAGTTTGAGAATGACTGCCTCTGAGTACTCGTGACGCTGGGCGTGGCCGCCGCAAGGAGCTTCCCCGGGACTCCCCGACGGCATCGCCCGCGCGCCGCGACGCCAATGTCGGCGCGCCCCCCCGCGAGGATAGCGCCCGCTTCCTCCGTTTCTTTCACTCCCTCTTTGCCCGCGCACTCAAAAGTCCAAGGCTGCGGGCGCAGCGCAGCGCGGAGTCCCCGCGACGCGCTCAGGTCGCCCCAGAGGGGGTCCCAGCGACGCGCGCGGGTCGTCCGCTGCGCAGAGCAACGAGAGCTAGCTGGCTGGCTGATGGCGGGCAAGGCTCTTGCCGCTGAGCAGAGCGACGACGGGTGAGCGAGGCGCGGAACTCCGACGGCCTCCGACGGAGGTGTACTGGGTGGGGGAGACGCGTGCGGATTTCGCCACGGGGACCTTCGGTGGGGCTCCCTATGGGGCCACGACGCGCTATACTGGGCGGGGGAACCGCATGCGGACTGCGCCACGGGGACCTTCGGTGGGGCTCCCTGTGGGGCCACGGAATGTTGTACTGGGTGGGGGAGACGCGTGCGGACTGCGCCGCGGGGACCTTCGGCGGAGCCCCTATGGGGCCACGAATCATTGTGCTGGGTGGGGGAAGCGCATGCGGAGTGCGCCACGGGGACCTTCGGCGGAGCCCCTATGGGGCCATGAAGCGTTGTGCTGGGTGGGGGAGACGCATGCGGAGTGCGCCACGGGGACCTTCGGTGGGGCTCCATATGGGGCCACGAAGCGTTGTATTGGGTGAGGGGGGCGCATGCGGAGTGCGCCACGGGGGCCTTCGGCGGAGCTCTTATGGGGCCACGAGGCGCTGTACTGGGTGAGGGAGACGCATGCGGACTGCGCCACGGGGACCTTCGGTGCGGCTCCCTATGGGGTCACGAAACACTGTACTGGGTGGGGGAGACGCATGCGGACTGCGCCACGGGGACCTTCGGCGGAACCCCATATGGGGCCACGAAACGTTGTATTGGGTGGGGGAGACGCATGCGGACTGCGCCACGGGGACTTTCGGCGGAACCCCTATGGGGCCACGAAGCGCTGTACTGGGTGGTGTGTGTGTGTGTGTGGGGACGCATGCGGAGTGCGCCACGGGGACTTTCGGTGGGGCTCCATATGTGCCCACGAAGCGCTGTATTGGGTGGGGGGGGGGGGGGAACGCATGCGGACTGCGCCACGGATACCTTCTGTGGGGCTCCATATGGGGCACGAAACGCTGTACTGGGTGAGGGAGACGCATGCGGACTGCGCCACGGGGACTTTCGGCGGAGCCCCTATGGGGCCACGAAGCGCTATATTGGGTGGGGGAAACGCATGTGGTACACACCAGTTGGGCTTTAGGTGGACCTTTCTATGGGGCCACGAAGCGCTGTATTGGGTGGGGGGACGCATGTGGTACACACCACTGGGGCCTTAGGTGGACCTCCCTTATGGGGCCACGAAGCGCTGATATGGGTTGGGGAAACGCATGTGGTACACACCAGTGGGGCCTTAGGCGGACTTCCCTACGGAGCCACGAAACGCGGTACTGGGTGGGGGAAACGCATGTGGTACACACCACTGGGGCTTTAGGTGGACCTCGCAATGGGGCCGCGAAGCGCTGTATTGGGTGGGGGAGACGCATGTGGTACACACCACCGGGGCCTTAGGTGGACCTTCCTATGGGGCCACGAAGCGTGAGAGGAGGAAAGGAGGGATGATCATGATGACGATGATGATGATGATGATCATGATGATGGTGATGATGATGATGATGGTGATGATGATGATGGTGATGATGATGATGATGATTATGATGATGATGGTGATGATGATGATGATGATGCTGATGATGGTGATGATGATGGTGATGATGATGATGATGATGATGATGATGATGATGATGATGATGATGATGATGGTGGTGGTGGTGGTGGTGGTGTGGCGGCGGTGGTGGTGGTGGTGATGATGATGATGATGATGATGATGATGATGATGATGATGATGATGATGATGATGATGATGATGATGATGATGGATGAATGACGATGCTGCTGCTGCTGCTGCTGCGGAGGAGGAGGAGGAGGAGGAGGAGGAGAGGAGGAGGAGGAGGAGGAGGAGGAGGAGGAGGAGGAGGAGGAGGAGGAAGAGGAGGAGGAGGAGGAGCAGGAGGAGGAGACGCGGGGACCGTCTTGTCAAAACGAGGACCCAACATCACAGGTTGGCTGGGAATGAGGAGAGGGGAGGGTGGAGGAAGGTGGATCTGTATACACGTTCGATTCCCAAAGGCTTCTAAGAAGCCGGCTTTTCTAGAAGCCCGCACCCCATGCCACTTCCTGGTGGTCGCCGTGGATCTTCAACGATAGATGCGTTTCGACGATTTCGGTGTCCGGAAGCTGATCGCTAGCTGTTTGCCCCAGACGAAGGCTCATGCGACTCGTCCGAGAGTCTATCGGGGTCGTTGGGTGGGTACGACATTTTTGGATGCCTGTCGCCAGCATGTGTAATCATGGCCTCACGCAGTGCTTCAGCCGGCGCCCGCGCAGCTGTGCTAGGATGGCCCCCTGCAGTTTCGGTGGCTCCTCATGGTGCGCGGGATGACGGCCCCTGGAGTTTGGGCCGCTTCGAGTGGTTCAGCCTTCGCAGCCGCGGCCGCCCCTTCGGGCCCGCCCCACCCCCCCCAGGCTGGTTTTCGACGCTCCCCGGCGGAGCAGCTCAGCTGGCTCGCGCACGCCGTTGGCGCGACCTGGGGTTGGCGCCCCACTGGCGACTCGCCCATCGCTTACCAGGTGTGGGCACTCAGACGGCATGTTGGACACGCAGCCCACAGCTATCGTCCTCACGTTTTGTTTGGTTTTGCCACTCGGCACATCTTGAATTCACCAGCATTTTGCCGTGCTGCAATTGCCCGAGCTTCCTGGACGCCCTCAGCTTGCCGCTCCCCCCGCGTTGTCAGCCGCTGCTGGATGAGTGGGCCGGCCGGCTCGCGGCGCTTTTAGCTGCTAATTAGGCCGCTGTCGTGACCCGTAGCGTTTCTGACTCCGCTACCGCCTTCGCTGGTGGACGCGACCGAAAAATATCCCCACGTTCGACGGAGGCGCCAGGAGCATCCTGGAAAGGCCTAGAGTCGCCGGGGCGGGAGCTCTCCTGTGGAGGCACGACCCAAGCGCTGGTTCCCCCAGAGTGGTTGCCGCCGTTGTGGTCGCCCTCCCCTGGGATGACAACGCGCAGACGGCCGAAACCGCAGGGTGCAGGGCTGGCCTCGCCCTAGTCGTAGTCCGTGGCGCGCGAGTCGTAGGCGACAACCTCGCCGCCGCACGGTACGGCGCGGGGACGGGACGCTATAGGCGGCTCCATCTCGCACAGCAGATGGACTACGCCCTGAGACAGGCAGCCGACGGGGGCTGGACGCTCTCCTGGCAAGCTGTACGACGGCGGTTCAACAAGGCCGCCGACCCGCTGGCGACTCTCGGTGTCTACCGGGCTGACGCCCCGAGTGGCGTGGGCCGCCCGCCCTGCCTCCCTGCCCGCCGGGCTCCCGTGCCCTCGTGCCAACGTCTGCGACCCAGACGCAGTCGTCCTCGCCGCTATCGCTCTCGAGCGCCCTCCTCCCTCCTCTCCCCCCCCACCCTCGTCTGCCGTCGCGCCCGCCCGCTAAGGTTGCCGAGGGCCCCCTCCCTCATCGCCGCAGTCAATGCAGCCGTTAGCTGCTCCCTGGTACCCCTGGTACGCCGAACAACCGAGGACCACTCAGAAGGTGGGCGTCCTGTCTGCCCTGTTCCGACGACGGACCCCCGGTAAGAGATGGGAGGCGTGTTTTCCTGGGTGGGTTGTGCCATTGGCTACGGTGGGCGCACTTCGGCGGAAGGTGGATGTGGTAGTGCGAAGTGTGCCAGAAACCTTGCGACGACATCGATCACCTTCTCAGCGAGCCACGCCACTTTCAGGGCTCCAGGCAGTACTCACACGGTTGGCCCGACATCAGCACCTTTACTTCCCCCGGCAACCTGTGGACGATGACTTGGGGCGGCACTTGGGACCGCGACCACAGCTGCCGCATCGAGAGGATGGCCTGGACAGGATGGGCTCCCCCAGAACCCACCGCCGTGGACGGCGCATGGGCGCCTCTGGGGCTCGCCATCCTGGAGGGCTGCTTCCATGCGCCTACCAGCTACCCGCTAGTGGGCGACCCCGTGGAGTACATCAGCCCTGGTGGCGCTCGGTTCGACCCTAGCGAAGTTCGGCTTGCCCACATAGAAAACGCTCAG